GTTGTTTGGCGGGCCCGGGCTGGGGATGCGAACCCGCCACCTTAGGTGTATGTGGCTGGCACCTTAGCCACTTGAGCCACAGGCGCCGAGCCACTTTCTACTTCTGTTAGGATCTTTCCTGGATGATATCCAAAGCAGAGCACACGATTTAGGGTAGACTAAACAAAACGGATGCTCTATTGTGCTAGTTACTTAATACAATAGTAATGAAGCTATAGCTAGAACTCATCTCCTAATTTAGATCCAAGGGGTAGGTACTAGATTCTATTAAAACCTAAGGGCATCAATCAATGGGTCAAATGGATAGAGAAAAGCTAATACACAGAATGACCTCCTCCTGAGAAACATGCCCATTAAGGCAACATTGATGTAAGTTATGTCCTTATAAATGATAATACAGACAAATGCTATCAAACCAGATAGGAAGTACACTATTTATAAAAAGATTTAAACTCTCATGAAGGACAAACTTAACCATACACTATTGTTTCATTTCAAAAAACTAAATCCTAAAAAAATTTTGAAAAGCGGGAAAAAAATACGTACAATCCTGGTGTTTTTCTAAGGCAATTTCAAGCTTCTCTTTTATCTTCTGCAAGTTTCGGACCTGTTCAGCATAGTCTTGGGTGAGGAGGGTGACGCACATACCAAGAATGGACAAACATCAGGAAAGGAAGTTAATTAAACAAAAAAATGAGTAAAAATGATGATGATTTTCTTAACCTGAATACCATTCCTGTTAAGAAAAGCTAGGCAGACAGCCTCCCATTTACAATGAACAACACAGGCAAACAGGTATAGTACAAACTATCCATGGTATAAATGGTGAATACAAACAGGCAGATTTATTTAGCCTTGTTAGATAACAAGAAATAGCTTTGGCCTGATCATCAGAAATGCCCTGCTATGAAAAACATTGTATTATCTCATGACTTAATCTCAAATCTCAGTTTTCACTTTCCTTTCTAGCCTTAGCAGTAGGACAAATCAAAGGGAACTCACTAAACAGCTTGCTTAGAGTTATACAATTAATTAAGAGCAGTTAGGGCGACAGCAAACATGTTAGCACAGTACTATTTGTTTGGTGAAGGTACTTTATAGATAAGTGAGCTCCCTTTCTACACAGGAACTGAGTTACCTATGCCATCTTAGAGGTTAAAGTCAGAATTAAATACCTGTGTGGCCAAAGATCGTATGGTATAGTTAAAAAGTAGACAGTAATTCAAATCCCAACACTGTTAGTCCTTAGCTGAGGACCTTAAGCAAATTACTAATCCAGAGTATTAGTTTCTTCTTATATGAAATAATAATATTAATTGTACCTACCACAAAGGCTACTTTAGATAATGCAGTGTTTTACATGGTTTATAAAGGGCTTCACACAGTATTCAACAGAAGGTAGCTACTACTGTTGGTGTTTTGTTTTGGTGATGGAGCCTCACTGTTCCTAGGGCTAGAGTGCTATGGTCAGCTTACTTCACAGCAACCTCAGACTCTTGGGCTGAAGTGATCTTCCTGCCTCAGCCTCCCTTGTAGCTGAGACTACAGGCACCTGCCACAATGCCTGGCTAATTTTTCTATGTTTAGTAGAGACAGGGTCTCACTATTGCTCAGACTGGTCTTAACTCTTGAGCCCCAGGGATCTTCCCGCCTCAGCTTCCCACAGTGCTAGGATTACAGACATGAGTACTGTACCCAGCCTGTTACTGTTATTATACATCCTAAATCCGTAGGGCAATAACCCAAGATACAAGTGGGCCCAATAAATGTTCAGTTCTTTCCTCTGTCCCTTCTCTAACATAAGCCAAGTCCAACTATTCTTTCTGTGTTGGGGATGGTACATATCATTTTATAATTGTCTTCCCAGTGTTAAACGAAACGTAAGGTTATTTCACCTCTGTTACTGATATTATTTAAGGGAAGGAGTAACAGGATAGTAACACTTGGGTTTATTTATTTATTTATTTATTTTTAGAGACAGATTCTCACTTTATTGCCCTTGGTAGAGTGCTGTGGCACCACACAGTTCACAGCAACCTCCAACTCCTGGGCTTAGGTGATTCTCTTGCCTCAGCCTCCTGAGTAGCTGGGACTATAGCTGCCCACCACAACGCCCGGATATTTTTTTGTTGCAGTTTGGCGGGGACTGGGTTTGAACCCGCCACCCTCGGTATATGGGGCTGGCACCCTAACACTTGAGTTTAAAGCAGACTGTAATTAAGAGTACGGTCTCTATCTCTAGTATCAACCAAATATGGGTTTGGATCCCAGTTCTACCAAGAACTATCTATGTGACCTTAACCTTGCTAAGCCTAGTAAGTGTACAGTGAGAACAAAATAATTAACTGGTATTTGTGAGCTACACTATGGAACTTTGCTAGCTATATAAATACAATTATTTCACAACAGTTTGGTAAATGGTAGTCTGCTGCTTTCACTTCAGTAAAATGGGCCAAGGCACAAATCGATACAGAAGCTATGGACCACTTCACAGGATGAAGCTTTCAAAATGTATTCACTGCCAGAAACCAAAATAAGAACTTACAAATCTATCATGACCATGCCCTGCTCAGGCCAAGAACTGTAGCTAAGTAATTTGTATACTGTACACAAAAGGTGTAAAGCAGTTACACTTCTATGTAGGTGTTGAAGTTAGAAATGCCATTGAAAAGTGGCCTAGGCTCGGCGCCCATAGCTCAACCGGCTAAGGCGCCAGCCACGTACACCTAAGGTGGCGGGTTCGAATCCCCAGC